AATTGGTGGATTTTTTAGTTAATTCGACGCTTTTTGACAATGCTAGACATTTACCAATTTTTCAATAGTTTCTTGTTGAAAATCGACATTCGGAAGCATTGTATCGATGCGTAGCCATATTTCTGATCGATTAGTGATAAAATTATTGAAATTGGACCAGGGGCAGCTGAGTTATTAACGTACAAAATCTTTCTTAATTTGTTACATGTTCCATTTTCGGTTTTCACAAACTGTACCCCCATATAGAAATCAAAGACGTAGTCCTACGTCAAAAGAAAATGATTTACTTAATTTGACAGTTGCACCATGACGAAGTGGCAGCGTATTCTTGATCTGTTCCACGCGCAAATATCGCAAAAAGACATTTCAATCGCCGTGGGAGTGTCCCGATGGACGGTCGAAAGGGTTTTAGACCGAGAAAAGAAAGGACAACTATCCGCGAAGGTGGCCACAGGTCGTTCGAGGTCAGCTCGTGTTTCGAGGGTTATCCCTGCTATCAAAAGGAAGATTCGGGTGAACCCAGTGCGTTCAATAAGGAAAATGGCAAAGGAACACGGGATCAGTGACTTTACGGCACTGAAGATCGTAAAGGAAGATTGCGGGGCGAAGTCGAGGGCACAGTAAAAAAAAAACTCACTACCAATAATATACTTTAGACTACCAACCGCATCCGGGAGCCTCGAGTCGAACGATGCAAGAAAATCTTGAACTTCATTATGTGAAAAAATCCGGTAATCCTGTTCACCGACGAGAGCATGCTTCCATTTATCAACGTCCTTTTACGACGAGAGCATGTTTACCGTCGATCCCGTATCAAATTCCAGAACCGACCGGTATATTAGTTCTCTTCCGGTAAAAGACGTGACCGACGAGCACAAGAACGTGTATCTGACCAAGCATCCTGCTAGCGTTATGGTGTTTGGATTGGTGGCTTCCGATGTCAAAAAAATGGACCTGGTGTTCATTCGAGAAGGCGACAAGTTCAATACGGAGGTCTACATCGGGATTTTAAGTAAGTAGGTTCTTCCGTGGATCAAAGAACAGTACGGTCCGAAGCCAAATGTCGTATTTCAACAAGATGGGGCTCCGTGCCACACCTCGAACCGCACTCAGAAGTGGTTGCAGGAACATCTTCCGTTCTGGGCGAAGGATATGTGGCCGCCATCCAGCCCCGATCTTAATCCGCTGGATTACTCAATATAGCGCGTCATGAAAGCCAAGGCCTGTTCTAAACGCCACCCGCGTACAGCAAGCCTCAGACAAATATTGACCCGTACCTGGAGAGAAATGGGTTCAGACTACATTATTAGAACCTACCGTGCATTCCGGAAGCGTATGGAGGCCGTAATTGCAGCAAGTGGAAACTCGATGGATGATTAACATAGTTTTAGACTCTGAAAAACATCCCCCCTTTGAATAAATAAAAAAAATCGAAAACGAAATTTTTGAGAATTTTTTTAATTTTTTCATTGCTCAATGGTGCAAACATTATCACGCATACGGTACTCAACAGATGGGGGTAGTGTTTTAGCGACGATGATAAGAGGAAGATGAGACAATTGGCAAATCAAAGTTGGCACTCGTGGAGAATAGAAGAACTATAACAGTGATGATGGTTTCAAAATTTTCCACGGGGAAGTATACGAATGCAATCTTAAAAAGCTTTTATTTTGCAAATGGAACATTTTATTTAAATCTGGTTGCTGCTACAGTGGTAGAAAAGCTCAAATCTATGTGTACACCTAAAAATCTGAAAAGAAATTAATTTTTCTGTATTATTTGTCTATTGAGTAGTCCTTAAGTTTTCTACTAACGTAGCATTAACCAGATTTAAATAAAATGCTCCATTTGCAAAATAAGGGCATTTTAAGATTGCACTCGTATACCTCACCGTGTAAAATTTTAAAACCATCATCACTCTCATAGTTCTTCTATTCTCCACGAGTGCCAACTTTGATTTGCCAATATCAAAGTTAGCCATCGTGGAGAATAGAAGAACTATGAAAGTGATGATGGTTTCAAAATTTTCCACGGGGAGGTATACGAGTGCAATCTTAGAATGCTTTTATTTTGCAAATGGAGCATTTTATTTAAATCTGGTTGCTGCTACAGTTGTAGAAAAGCTGAAATCTATGTATACACCTAAAAATCTGAGAGAAATTATTATTTTTATATTATATGTCTATTGAGTAGTCCTTAAGTTTTCTACTAACATAGCATCAACCAGATTTAAATAAAATGTTCCATTTGCAAAATAAAAGCTTTTTAGGATTGCACTCGTATACCTCACCGTGTAAAATTTTGAAACCATCATCACATTCATAGTTCGTCTATTCTCCACGAGTGCCAACTTTGATTTGCCAATATGCGGGTGAAAACGAACCACTTTTCTGTCAAACTCGAACCAGCTCGTGATTGGCCGATTTGAAGTGCGTAAGATAGAGATAGAGTTTTGATTATTAATTTGAGTATTTTTCAATTACTCTAAACACATCGAATCTAAATGCAGCCAGATTTACTTTGATTTGATCTAGAAATGAACTTTGCTGAACATGCTTTCCAGAATTTCGAATTATGTTTCAATTTGAGGAAAAGCTAAAATCACCGAAAAAATCACGCACAATTGAGGCCATCTCACCGGGAACAAACGGAAATCAACAACAATGATAGCGGTGGTGGCGGTGTAGAGGTAAGCGTGATTACCTCTCACCCCAGCAGGTCTGGATTCAATCCCAGTCGGCGCCACCGGGATGTTCTGAGGCATAACATCTCTGATCACGCCTTCCTTCGGAAGGGAAGTAAAGCCGTTGGTCCCCGGTCCATGAGTTGATGGGTCGATAGGTAGGGTCCAGGTGTGGGAGCTGCCTCCCTGGCGTCGGTAGCATTGGTGCTCAGCATGGAAAACAAATCAAGGAAAAAAAACAACAATGAAGAATAGATAAATACGAAATCCGATTAATTTCAAATAGACCTTGGTATTTGTTCTAAGTCTGAAAAAAACTAAATTCAAAATAAAAAAAATGCAGGTATAAGCCCGGAATTTGGTAAAAGTTCAATGGTCCAGAATCCCAGCCAGAATCTTGTTTTTCATGAGGGGGACGACACATCTTAATCCCAATTCTAGATGCTCATAAAATCTCACACTAGCGAATAAATCTTCGAAACATCTTCTTTCATTTCTCGCATCTACTTGCATCGCGCATCATCTTTTTGCAGGAAATCTTCAAAATCGTGATAAATCTTCTTTCTATCTACTCAGCGTACGCGCAGCTAACCACAGCAAAACACAATATTTCCTGCATCGTAGATAGAGTCGTCCCCCTCGGTTTTTCAAACCTTTGGTTTTAATAAATAATTATGAAAGCAATCTTCAAAATTTTCCTAAGCTCGAAACCTTGAAATAGAAATACGTTCCAGAACCTTGAAGAAATCATCTTTTTCCATGGATTTAAATTGCTCAAGTCTAAGGGTATATATTATGGGGTCTTATTTTGTAAATCGAGAGGAGCATCACTGGGTTATTTTGTAACCATAAGTGACGCCAAAGAATTGCTATAAAAGCGTCATAAAATCACTAAGGATCTGGTATGGTACAAAAGTGTCAGTTTTGACTAAGAAAAGCAGAATTTAGGTGGCAAATTTTGAAAAACTTATACTGAGAAATATATTTAACCATTGTAAAAAAGCAAATAGTATTAGATTCAATGCAAAAAATCTATTGGAGGGTAAAACGATCAACAGAAAAATAAGAATAGGGCGGTTAAGCTACTTCGGACACAGGGAAAGGGAAAGGGAAAATTTTCTTAGAAAAGCATTTCAATTAAAGTTAAATAAAAAGAAAGAAGGAAGACCTAGTTTAACTTGGAAGGATTCTTTGGAGCAAGATACAAATAGATATAGAGAATTAACAGAGAGAGATTGGATAGAGTTAGTTAAAGATAGAGAAAAACTCAAAAAAGCAGCTGAAACAATTTATAAAGATAGTTCAAGCGAAATATCAGATGGGGAATCTACGGATGAAAACGAAATTCAAGAGGAAATGAAGCCAAGGTATGCAAGAGGATCAATAAACACGAAATTCAAGTTAATATAGGTAGAAATAAAGGTAAAATTAACAAATAGATGTGAAATTCACATCAGTTAAAACAACAAATAAACAAAGACTTGGGCTGCACACTACTTATGAGAGATCACGAACAAAATGGTTTCAATAAAAAAAAACCTATACATGGTAAGATCATTCTAAAATGTTGATATCAAGGTAAGTGACTGTTATTGATGAATCATTATATAAAACATATAAATTAAAATATACATTCAAAAATACATATACAAAAGGGAAGGGAGGGTCCAACAGGGCAACCGATTGAAGCGATTTGGATAGGGAGAGTGGGATCATAGAGGGGATTGCCAACATCCTGTTGCTAACATTTCGTGGATAGAGGGCGGGCTCTTCTCCACACTCATGGGGCATCCTTCAGGACGAGGGCTTGTTCCATTGCGAATTATATGATCTTGGTTGCTGGAAGGAGATTCTTATTCTGTTCCCGGTGGGTTTCGTGTGGGTGTTCTGCTTACGGGTCAATCCCTCCGTTTTTGGCCCTTCATACAGCGCCAAGCTGAATATGATTTGTCAGTGGGACTTGATCAAGCCGTCCAGATTGGATTGCCCATTGCTATGTGCAGGCGCCTTGCTACATGAGTGGTAGTCTCAATCATCATCAAATCATAAAATCACTGAGGATCTGGTAAATTTTTCAACTTCAAAAAATCATACATAATTCAGTAAAAATTAACTCTCTCTGACTTAATACTGAAGGCTCCATTCTCACCATAAATTTTAATTATTTTACAGGCATTCCTATGGTTTTATCACTATCACTTTTTTGCATTGGTTTTTTTTTGTTTGGAAAATACGTTTCGAACGTAAACAAGAATACCCCTTCCAGTAATGTTACCAGCTCAAAAGGATTTCACCAAATAAATAACAAAACACTCCCTTCGCATCAGTTTTACAGGTTTTTATTTCATTTGGATCTCAAACCTACAGTACAGAGTAAAAGAAAACATGCCTTCCATTTAATTGGTTATGTTGTATTTCAAATCAAATTATTGTTATACATCAGTAAATTGTGTGTAATCTTTCTTTAATAAAAGCTTTCTCTCCGGTATGCCGTTCAATCTTCCATACTCTTATGGTTGTTGTCAGCCGATGCCGAACGGGATCGTCCGCGTTTTTCGACGGGCGAGCGGGAGCGACTGTCACGGGATCGGGACCGAGATCGGGAATAGGACCGCGAACGAGAACGCGATCGTGCATCCTTGGACTTTGACCGCGAGCGCGAGCGACGTTCCGAGCGGGAACGGGAACGATCACCCCGGTCGTGGCTCGGAGAACGTTCCGGTTTCTTGTCCTTGGAGCGAGAACGACTTACCGAGCGGGAGCGAGATTTCTCCACCTTGGACCGGGATCGGGAACGAGAACGACGATCATCGCGGCTCTTGGAACGGGATTTTGACTTTTTATCGGCCTCGCGGGATCTGGAACGGGAAACGTCACGATCGCCCTTCTGCGAGCGAGACTTGCGACCGTTCTTCGACAGCGAGCGACTCTTTGAGCGGGAGCGGGAACGGGAACGTGACGAACGACGAGATCCCGATCGGGAACGACGTCTGGACGGTGACCGGGAACGACTATCCGAACGGGAACGACTACGTCCACCACGGCCGCCACCACCACCGCGTCCTCCACGATCCTCTTGCAAACGGATACGACGTCCGTTTAGTTCCGTATCGTCCAACTGCTTGATGGCGGCTTTCATTTCCGAACTAGTAGCGAATTCGACTACACCTTCATTTTTACGGTCCCTGTGAGCATCGGCGTAGGTCACTTCCCCCGCCTGACGCATGTAGTCCTTCAGATCCTGCCAGCTAATGCGGGATGATAAATTTTCCACAATCAAACGATGCTTGGTGCGCAGTGGAGGTCCATAGCGGGAACGTCCTCCACGACGTTCACGCTCACGGCGGCCACCGGAACCACGGGCGGTACCCCGAGCCGGTTCAATGGTCACTCTCTCACCAAGCAACTTCTTACCATTCATCTCATAGACGGCATCGTCCGCGTCACGGTAATCTTCAAACTCAACAAAACCGTATCCCTTCTTTATCAAAATTTCCGTAACTCGTCCATAGCCTTTGAAAAAGCGTTCCAAATCGCGCTCCCGGACATCATACGGAAGTCCTCCGACGTACACACGGGCACCACTCATTTTGTGAAATACTTATGTTTGTACTGGTTAGGATGAGGAAGGAGAAACGAGCCACACACAAAAAAATTGTCCACGGTTTGCACTCTTCCCCTGAATGGAGGGTGATGGTTGGCTTGGTCACTTCTTAATTTGCACTTTGCACGGGAAAAACCACACCGGGACTCCTCACTTTGTGGACGAATGTTTGCTCTGATGCTGGAAAACAAAAGATAATTACAACTTTTAGGTATAATCGGATTAAATTATGATAAAATGCAGAAAATCTACCGGCTTGAGTGAAATTATTCTCATCGTTTGTTGGTTAGAAGATGGTACCTGTCAGGTAGAAGTGGCCGTGTTGCTGGTTCCCTCTGTGCTGCGTTCAAAATGGTGCGCGAATGCCTGCCAACGTTGGTAAGCTGATAGGTAGCCCGATAGTACGTTGGTGTTGGCATAAACAAACAGTGTGAGCATGACGTCACGTGGTGTTAAATTCACCTTGCATTGCATTGAATTCGATGAAAATAGTTCCGAAACAATGAAAAACGCACACAAAATTCATATAAAATCATTCAACTCACCCACTGCCAGGTTGATTCGATTAAATTTAAAACAAAACTTGAATTGCTTTCGATCAACACATTCTTATTGGTGCTTGTCGGCTACCCTATTCGGTTGCCTTGGTACCTTGTGCTCCACGCCATGAGGCAGAACGTTCGGGCGCACATTTCGAAGCAGTCACTAACACAGAGACAAATCGATACGACGCTGCACAGTGGGAGAGTAGTAAAAGATTTTCTTACTCAATTATTGCTATTCCTGACTGATTTACCATGTGGCGTATGTTATTTAAAGGTAAACTATATTTTAGTTGTTTTTAATTTGCATTAAAAATACTGCTCTGGAGGATTTGTGAATTAAAAAATCCACATTAGCTTGTTAATTACCCAGCATCTTCTACGATTTTCCCAGTGTGAACTCCGTCTAGTCGGTCCGCCCGTACGCACGATATTCGCCCGCTCAACGACGTATTGCTCTGCCGTCACCAACATCACCAAAATGCGTTGCAAAAGTTGCGAAAGAAAGATTGAACGCAGCTTGCTTCGATTCAAGAAAAAAAAAACAAGAGTGATGGAGAAGAGGAAGTTGTTATCAAAACATGTTGATAGGATGGAATAGACGTTTTCTCTCATTCACTATATTATGCTTCCATTGGTGGTGTTTTAAAACGTTACTCGGTTTTACAGCATAAGCTTGATGTGATGCGTCGCCGGGCTGGGCCGGCCAGATGTTGAACGAGAAAGGCAATACCTACTAATAAAAATCAATTTTTGCGATATTTAGACCGCTCGGTTTGCGGACGGCGCTTCGTCCGAACGGGCGAAAATCGATAAGGATGTATGCGTGAAATATTTCGTTTTCGATGGCTTACATCAATACATGCGCAGGGCGTGGGGTTTGCCAAAAGTGCGGTTTCGCCACAAGTGCTGCAGTGATGCCTGCCGGTTGGATTCGGAATGGAAAAGAATGCAGAGTGTCAAAGGGGTACCACAATAAAATTGTTCTGGTCATTTTGCTGAACAACGTGTTCGGGGTATTATCCAAACCATTTATTAAATAGTTCTATAATTAGAGTAATCGTTCGGTTATGGTATTTTTTTTATTATTAGGGTACGTAGATGAAAGGGATCCATATATATTTTTTACAAGAACCGCAAAAAATTAAAATTTTTGCTCCAACAGTGTTTCACCTTAGCAATCTTCTTTGGTATAGTTGGTTGGTTTCTTTAATTTTGGAAAATGTTTGGGCTACATCATCTCGAATAGCTTCGTTTTCTGAGCCCAACGATTTTTTTTTTATCTTTATTAGGGAGATTTTTAGCCTTTCGCTAGTTCATGTCCGGTCTCATCAAGGTTTAAGCAAAATAATAATTTCACAGTTTGACACTAAATTTAAAAAATTCAGCTAGCTTCCATGCAAAGTCCTACTGAGAGATGCTAAGGCTGTGTTCCATTTGGTGAATGTTTTTAAATTTGACAGATGGAAAATTTTCAAATAAACCTGCGATTCCAGCAGACTTATTTCTGACCAACAAGGAATCAATTTTAACAGTCGCTTTCTCAAAAATCGGCCGATCTACAACAGAGGGATTTTCGAACATCTTAATTTATTTTCGAAGTGTCAAATCTAAGTGAACATTTTCCAAATGGCCTAAGATGGTGAATTTTTGATAATGTAATCAATCGCACTTATTTAAGATAGGGGAAATGGCTCTAATGTTGCAAACATTGCTTGCGCATTTATCCTGGCTATTAATAACTATTTAATTTGACGTTTGGCTGAAAAACGATTTTCTGCATAGTTGTAGCTGATAAAAATTCCCATAAGAATAACAATAGAATTTGTTAACAGTATAATATGTAAAAAGGCTAGAAGACAATGAACAAAAAGCTTTGTTTTCCCATATTAATTTCCATATAAACTTCAAATGGTTTGTGCCAAGTCAGTTTCTTATCAAATGAGTTTAAACTTTCGGAGGCTAATCAGGACCGAATTTGAAACCGTTTGAACACTGTGGAGCGAAAATTTCAAATTTTGCATCAGTCTAGTGACTAGCCTATTGGTCCCAAGCATACGATTAACGTACCCCATTCTAGTCGAAATTCTAGTACTACGCAATGTTTGTTTTGATTCGATATGAAAGTTTGACAGATAAAATGAGGGGTCATTGGTTTTTCCTATGTTTCGAGGGGTGAATCGATTAGCTTGTAACCGAAGATAGTACCAGAGCTGAGCCAAAAAGTTGAGCACGTTATTTCGGGACCTTCTAGTCTTAGAGTTACCTCTATGGAGCTACTCTGGTTTGCTCTGGGATCTGATATAATTTGCGACGAAAACAGAATTAGTTTGGCATATAGACATTGAAATCTAACCATGCAAATGTTAGTTCGGATGCAATATTTGAGGTTCATGGAATCCCTCACTTCGCGTTTTCACTGGCACTGGCCAACATGAAGTGGGCAAATTTGATGAAATGCTTGCCTCTCTACAGCAGACATGTAGATTAATTTTGAACTTTGTCCATTAAGTAGATCACCAGATGTATGCCCGTGAAATTGCGAAGTGATTAAACCAAATTGTGTGGAAAATGGATTCCGTCATTAGTGTCCTTAAATAATGGAAATGATCTGTTTTTCTACCAGTTGTCCCCTTGTTCCTCCCACTCAACCCTTGTGCCATCCATTACTACTGTCCGGACTTAACTCTTCTATTATTAACTCTGCTGGCAATCATATCCTCAAGTTGAGGAACTCAACCATTACTTAACGCTGAAAATGCGAACTTAACAAATCCCCCTGCGACTCCTTTGCTGTTGGTGGTGTTCAGATTAGTCCTGGACACGGGCATTGACCCTCCCGCTACAGGAGGACGATGAATGGGCATTAGACTGATGCAAAATTTGACTTTTTCGCTCCACAATGCTCATACAGTTCCAAATCGGGTCCTGATAAGTCTCCCAAAATTTGAACTCATTTGCAAAGAAACTGACTTGGCACAAACCATTTGAAGTTTATATGGAAATTACTATGGGAAATCAAAACTTTTTGTTCATTGTATTTTTACCTCTTTCCAAATTACACTGTTCGAAAATTCAAAAGCTATACTTATGGAAAATTTTGTCTGCTTCAACTTAGCAGAATATAGTTGTTGAGCCAAACGTCAAATAAAATAGTTATTAATTGTTTAAGAGATTGATAATCTTATGGAATGATCATGCAGCTGTTTTGTGAGCAACACTGTATCTTGCAGTGTGACATAGTAGCCATGATTTTTGTGCTGTATTCCAAGCGCCAGAAAAACCAATGTTGCCTGCTGAACAGTTGATTGAGCATAATCGTAAGACATTAGTGGCTTGAATTATTGATAACTTTTGATGCTTACATTATATTGAAAAGTGGTTAAGGACAAAGTTGTAGCTGAGAAAATTTTCTACGAGCTAAGTTATCATTTTTTAAAGCAGAGCGAGATGGTAAATTGTTAGATGGATATGAACAAAATATTTGGTTTTCCTATAGTAATTTCCATATAAACTTCAAATGGTTTGTGCCAAGTCAGTTTCTTATCGAATGAGTTCAAATTTTGGGAGACTAATCAGGACCCGATTTGGAACCGTTTGAGCACTGTGGAGCGAAAATGTCAAAATTTGCATCAGTCTAATGGGCATGTGCCACCTGGGAAGAAGGACCAAGCAATGGGTGCAACTTGCAATTAATTGGTAGGGTCGTGATTGGACTGCTTCTGGTGAGAACTTAGGATTTACCATCAGAAACTTTTCCGTTGCATTTGTCATAGAGGTTATGGCTATTTTCTTAAATCACGGGCGATGGCTTTCTGGAGGACACTTATCGTTTTCAGTGCTAATGAAATTGTACAGGATATTGCCACCTTAATACTACCAACAATCAATACGAAACTAACGATTTTAAATTGGCTCACCACTTTAGTAGCCTATTGGTCCCAAGCAAACGATTAACGTACCCTATTCTAGTTGAAATTCTATTACTACACTATGTTTGTTTTGATTCGCTATGAAAGTTTGACAGATAACATCAGGGGTGTGTGGATTCATGCAGAACATGCAGGGGTGAGTGAAATAGCTTGGGACTGCTTGGGACCGTTGTTCTGGTACTGAGTGAGCCAAAAATAATAATGATTTTCTTCGGGACCCAGTGGTCTTAGAGTTACCTCTATGGTACTAGTCACCCATCTCCAGGCTATGGTAAAGCTCCAATTCAAAGGACCAACTTTCGAGGTGGACGAAGACGAGGACCTTTTCGAGGTTGGATTTCCTGGCGAGGTTCGAGCTCTCAGATTCCGGAACGTTGTACACGGTGCAACCAACCGGTGGAAACTAACAATTTTAAATTGGCTCACTACTTGACTAGCCTATTGCTCCCAAGCAAATCGATTAACGTATTCTCTAACTTTAATCGTACTGGTACTTTCTTCGGTCCCAAGCTAATAGATGCACCCCTCGAAACATAGGAAAATCCACGAACCCCTCATTTTATCTGCCAAACTTTCATAGCGAATCAAAACAAACATAGTGTAGGACGAGGGGGACGACTCTATCTACGATGTAGGAAATATTGTGATTTACTGTGGCTATAGCTGTGCGTACGCTGAGTAGATAGAAAGAAGATTTATCACGATTTGGGAGATTTCCTGCAAAAAGATGATGCGCGATGCAAGTAGATGCGAGAAATGAAAGAAGATTTTTAGAAGATTGATTAGCTAGTGTGAGATTTTTCGAGCATCTAGAATTGAGATTTAGATGTGTCGCCCCCCACGGTGTAGGACTAGAATTTCGACCAGAATGGGGTCCGTTAATCGATTTG